GCAGAGACACAGACAGATATACAGGGGTAACCAGTCCTGTCATTATTTTGTGTCATCAAGTTGATTCCAACATGCAGAGACTTTGTAAAGTAGAACTGTCCCATCGGTTTTCCTAGGAGCCCTGGTAGGGTAGTGGTTATCTGAAAGGTCAGCTGTTCCAAACCACCAGCAGCTCCAAGGGAGAAAGAGGGGTTTTTCTACTCCCATAAAGAGTGACAGTCTTAGAAACCACAAGGGTAGTGAGATAGTTTATTGTGCCAGCCTGGCTGATAAACACAGGTGGGATTGACTGAAGGGCAGAGAGATAAATGACTTGGTGAGCCTTGCCTTTCTTGTCTCTCACTCTGTGATCATCGGACCAGTGTGTGGCTGCCTTGCTTGTTCTGTGCCTCAATTTAAAGGCTACACTACCTGTGGGACGCCTAGCCTGTGGACTGTGTTGCTGTAAGTTGAGGTCCCTTTAAGACTTCTCTGGAGCTGGGAACTGGCGGTTGGTGACCTGCCTTGTGATTGGCTGCTGTGCTGACATAGCCTAGCTCTCTCTACAAATAGAGGAAGATCTGGCATCAGACAGCGACTTGAAGGACTGCTAGTCTCTCAACTTTCTCTCACGGACGTGAGTTGCACTAAGCCATTTGTAGTGCTTTCTAATTTAACTGTTTATTTCTTGTATTGTATATTTATCTGTATATGATTAAACAGTTCATTTCTCATTATATATCTAATTATCTTTATAAATAAATATATTATTATCAGGAATTTGGTTTTATCTCTCTAGAGAACCCTGTCTAACACATTTAGTTATACTCTGTCCTGTAGGGTCACTATGTGTTGTCATCAACTCAATGGCAGTGAGTTTTGAGGTTTATATATGGGAACCGATTGTTAGTTCTTTTATGGAGTTGCTGGTGGGTTCAGACCACTGACCTTTCAATTAGGAACCATGTGCTTAACCGTTGTGCACCAGGGCTAGGCTCTAAAACTGAGTAGGAAAATTCCACACATGGAAGAGAAGGGATAAAGAAGAATGTGTGGGGGTCTGAGAGTAAAGACTATAGCCCCGAAGTGATTTGAGGATCTCGATTATGATTTAGAAATGCCACTATGGATATAGAATATACATTTTTCTCAGAAGAGCACAGTGAATATTCCTCTTCTTTTAATTAACCCAAGCACACTAATACAAAAAAGATCTCATCCTGGGCACAAGTTAAAAATATGATCATCTCCACTAGTTTAATTTAAATATGAAAGCAATTTATTAGTAAATCTTCATTCAACATGGTTTTATAATTCAACCAGAAAATGAGGGATACTCTTTTTAAAAAGTGTTTTACTGATGCCTCACTAACTACAGATTTCACATGGAGAAAAGAATGATACTGTTCATTAAGTAAAGATCAACAAAAGTCTGATATTCGCTCAGTGAATGTTCTACCTAGGCCCCATGATTATGCAGCTAATACGGAATCTGATTTGTGTTTTCTAAGGCATTGAGAAAAGAAGCTTATGTATTCACCATGGTGACTTAGTTTCATAGAAGCATGAATGATTAAATGAATGACTATCACTTTTCAAAGAAAATGGCTATAAAGACAAAAAAAAGTCCCTATGAGATAGTGAAATACCTTCAAAGACAATGTTTTCATGTCTGTTTTTCATTTAAATTTAACCTTCGCAGCATAATTTTTTTCCATTTTATGGTAACTAGGCAACCTATTATTTTGAAGCACTTAGTTCAGGCTTTGTACATTCCGGATGTTCAATAAATCCATTTTGATTAATGAGAAATTTACAGCACCAGTGAAGACGGTTTCTAATTCCGTTGAACGAGAAAGATGATCTCGGAATGCAATTCCTCACTCCGTGCCAGGAGAGTGTGGGCCTCGGTTATCCCTGCAATTTGCTGATGTGCATCCAAGACTCAGGTCAACTCGAAACGGAGACGCCATCTGGTGAATCATCTTCCACACCCAGCTTTCCTCCCTGCAATAGTCTGCTTTGGGTTGAAGGGTGAGGGTGCATCTGTAACTATGTATAACTAAACATTTTTGGAAATGGTGATACTTCCTTCATTCTAATGCCAACATTTCGACATGAAAACAATGCAGACTGGACCAGGATGAGTGTTTGTCTCCGCTAAGTCAGCGGAGAGTGTCAACAGGAGCTCCGTGGGAATGTTTAACTCATTAAAAAGAGCAAACTACTTCTGAGCCTCCTGGAAGCATTCTTCCACATACAAATACTAGCCTTGCTGATAAGGACCATTTTTTTTATCAAAAGGCAATGCTTTATTGGGCATTTGCTATGTGTTCAGCGCTGTCTTAGCCATTCATTAAAGCAGATCTCTACATGGTAACTGTGTGACCGAGAAACCTAGGGCTGTGCCAGCAGTGAAATTCTGGTAAATTCACTCCCTCCTTCTGCAACCGCATGGAGAGTTTACAAATGTGAAAATGTAATCATCTGACCTTGCTCAAAGTGCAGTGGATGTTTGCTATATTTGGGAAAGCATCCAAAGCAAACAAGAATTATACATTTTCTTCTTACATCCATTTCCTTAGTGCCACAGAGGAGAACCCCTGGTGGCCCAGGGGTTAGGATTGGGCTGCGAACTACAAAGTGAGCCCTTTGATGCCCCCGACCACTCCTGGGAGGAGGAGGCAGTTTTCCGCTCCTCTGAAGAGTTACAGTCTTGGAAACCCAGAGGGGCCATTCCACTTGGTCCGATAGGGTTGCTATGTGGGGGAATCAACTCGAGGGGAGTGTGTTTGGTGTTTGTGTTTGTTTGTTACGCATGAATAGCCTGAGCTACAGAGTAATATGATTTTTAAAATAAATACAACAACCCCTGATGAAGGCGATAATGTGTGGGGTATAGGCTATTTGTGATCCCAGGTATGATATCCTGTGAGACAGAATTTCTTTAGAATATCAGAATATAATAAAATAAGTATTCGTAAATTCGTAAATATATTGTTACCAGGCTCATGCCTTTGGACATGTCGTCAAGAGAGACCAGTCCCTGGAGAAGGACGTCATGTTTGGTAAAGTAGGGAGTCCTCCAAAAAGAGGCCGACCCTCATGGAGACGGGTTGGCACTGTGGCTTCAGCCATCGGCTCAAGCACAGGCACAGCTGTGAAGCTGGCACGGAATTTGGAAGTGTTTCCTTCGGTTGTGTGTCGGATCACGATGGGTCCCAACCGACTCCAGGGCACCTCACACCAGCGACAGCAAGAATGCCTTTCTGTCTGAAAAACAAGAATAACAAAGACAATTGATAATGAAAGCAACAACTCAACAGTGAATAAAAATGTGTTTGATGCCACCTGACTCCTCTTATCTCCCACACATTCTCAGTGCGTTCATGTTCTTCTCTCCCTCCCCCTCTCCCTCCCACTCCACTTTTTATTGCACTCCAATCAAATTCCCATTCCTCACTGCTCACTGAAACGTGCTTTATAAAGGTACCAATGACCTTCATGTCACAAAATCCAGAAGGACATTTATTGGTTCTCATTTTCCTTAACCTCTGGACAGTATTCCCTAGTTTGGTAACACTTCCATCTTGGTATCCTTCCTTCCCTTTGAGTGGTGAGACCGAGGATTCCAGGCTGAGAAAACAAACAAACAAATAAAAGAAATGACCATGAGGTGGCATCAGTGCACAATGGGCGTTTATGGGATGATACTGTCACAGGTTTGAAGTCTTCCCAAGGCAAGTGAAGTGATGACCAGCCAGAAGAGGCAAGATGATCAAAGGGTCTTCCATGGAACAAGGCGATTAAAGAGGTTCCTTCCTTGTGAGACAGGAAACCTGGTGGGACAATGATTAAATTCACTGCTGTTTCCTGAGAAGCTGGTGGGTTTGCTTGAAGCATAAAGTTTGCAGCCCAGAAAACTGTCCAGGGGAAAGTCAGCTCTATCACCTGGGGCCCCTAAAGTTAGAACCAACATCAGATAAGCTTTTCAGCGACAGATGTCAAGTCTCTGGGTGAGAGACCTGGGAAAAGCAGCAGTGCTTTGGGGTCTTCTGTAGCTTTTCTATGTCTTGCAGATGCCAGCTGTAGTTGTTTTAGGGGGCGAAGGTCATCAGACAGTCTCTAGATGGCTAAACCTATGACTGTTTTGTGTACTTCTCTTTCAAAGAATCGTTTGCTTATTCATTTTTATTGTACAAATAGACATGATAAAACCGCCAATTCAACTGGTTTTACATGTATTATAGAGTGATATTGATTATATTCTTTATATTGTGTAACCATTATTATAATCTTACTCTGAATTATTCCATCACAATTAACATAAATTAAGTGCCCCTAAGGAACTTTGTTTCTCCCTCCCTTTTACTTTTTATAACCAAGTTAATAGACTTTTTTCTGTAAGTTTGCCTACTTTATGTCAGTGATCGCATACAATATTTGTTCTTTTTCAACAGATTTCTTTCCCTCAGCATAATGTTCTTGAGGTTGGTCCATGTATTAGCATTCATCAGGATTTCTTTTTTAATGGTCGAGTAATATTCCATTATATGTATATACCACATTTAATGTATCCATTCCATCAGACTTGATATTAATGAGATGTACAAGAAAACCTTTCAGGGTTTTCATTTGCTGATGTAGCATGACTGAAGCAAGAAGAGCTGAAAACATGAATAAGGGAAGCATGGAATGGATGATGCATGCATCTAGAAAAATGGAAAGACATAGAATGAAATAGAACCCTTGAAGTTCAATATTCTTGGCATTCAGGAATTGAAATGGTCTGGTTTTAGCCATTTTAATCAGACAAACATGGGCTACCATACGGTGAATGGTAATTTTCAGAAGAATGGCATTATATCGATTTTTTTTTTTAAGTTTTCATCTTTAATGAAATGACTTTGGGAAGAACATTCTATGACACCAACACTACAGCTTTCGGAGTCACAGTTAGATAGAATTATATCCATTCCATAATTAATATGAATGCCAACATCTCTAACCATTCATTTTTATTAAATGGCAAACAAAATCAAGAAAGCAACCATCAAACAAAAGAGGCCCATAGCTTCAGAGGAGGCAAATCCCAAGATAGCATGTGAGAACAGCTGCTGCTTCAGCGAAGGGTTTCTGGGATAACCAATGATGAGGCAGCCAAAGACGGCTCCAATACGAGCACCAGAACCAGCCACTCCCACTGTTGCAGCACCTGCACCAATACATTTGGCAGCAGTATCAATGTCTCTGCTGCTTGCACTGGTCTGAAACTCCCTTTGGATTAGTGGAGACACACCAGCCTGGGCCCCAGTAAACACTGCTGAGCCCTCTCCAGTTCTAGCCTCTGGTCGATATAACACTGATGCAGACATTGGTCTGTATGCAGCTCTGGATCCAGCTCGCATCAGAGCAGGGGTGCAGGCGAGCTTGGCGCAGGCGAACATCCTAGGGTCTTCCGGGAGGCGGGCTGGAGGACTTGGGTGACAGGCGGCGTGGGCTCCTCTCCCGCTTCCTAGCTTTCCCCGCGGCGGCACTGGCGGCAGAGGTCGAAAGAGTGGGGCTCCATTATATCTATCTTAAATAGAACATTTCAAGATCTATTTTGAAGTACAATGCCGCCAGTGATAGGAAAATAAACACACACCTACAAAGAAGACTATTTGATATAGTTGTTATTCAAATTTGCATCCACCATTAATGCCAAAATTGAAGCAACCGACAAAAATTTCACTAACGTTTGTAGTCTGAAATTAGCCCAACACATGATCAAGATTCATTGATAATTCTGGTGATTGGAATAGGAACGTTGGAAATAAGTGGTATCAGTAGCTCAAAATATAGTCTTCGTGCTAGAGCACATGCTGGAATTTTGGAAGGCAAAAGACATTCACTGAAAATGTCTTTTTTTCCAACTATATAAATGGAAATTATACAAATGTATCTCACTGAAAGGAATACACAGGGATCAAAGAGACTGCATCTATCAGAAGAGTCCATGGAGAATATTAATATTGTCAATCAGAACAAGTCATTGAAAGCACATCAGTGCGAGAAAAGACCAACATGGGTATCAGAAGAGAGACTAAAACGTATTTTTTAATATAATAAAATGGAATAAAGTAAAATGACTGAAGAAAAGATTGCAAAGGATAATTCAAGAGGAAAGTAGTGGAATCTGCAAAGGCAGGTTAGAAAATCTAAAGAGACAAACATGCTTCACATTTTTCATCTGAAAGAATAGAAGAAAAACTTCAAGGCTCAAGTTGAAATACTGAAGGATTCCATGTACAAAAAATTTGAACAAAACAGGAAGCATGAAAAGATGACATAAGGAATGTAGAGTCACTGTACCAAAAAGAATTGGTCCGTTATCAACCATTTGAGAAGGTAGAATATAATCAAGAGCTGATGATATTGAAGGAAAGTCCAAGTTGTACTGACGGCAATAGAGGAAAACAAGGCTTTGACAGAATGTCAGTTGAAATGTTTCAACAAAAGATACAACACTAGAAATGCTAACTGGTCTATGCCAAGAAATTAGTCAGACAATGAACTGGAAAAAATTTGTAAGACAATAGACTGTAAGAAATCCCTATCTATACCCCTCCCAAATAAAAATGAAACATATGAAAGATGAAATTATCAAACAATATTAAGATCACACACAAGTAAAGTGTTGCTGATGATAATTTTAAAATGGTTACAGCAGTATATGACCAAGGCACTGCCAGAAAATAAAGGCAGATTTCGAAGAGAACATGGAGTGAAGGACATCATTACTAAGACAGATCTTGGTTGAAAGCAGAGGTCACCAGAAAGATACTTACCTGTGTTTTGTTGACTATACAAAGCCACTATCTGTATAGCTTAAGAGATTATGAATAGCATTGAAAAGAATTGGAACTCTACAACATTTAATTGTGCTCATATGAAACCTTTACTTGGATCAGGCATCAGGAGACCCATATCTATGTGAATGAGGGGGGTCAGAGTGGAGACCCAAAGCCCATCTGTAGACAATTGGACATCCCCTCACAGAAGGGTCACAAGAAAGAGACGAGCCAGTCAGAGTGCATTACAGTGAACCCTCGTTTATCGCAGTTAATCGGTTCTAGACCCTACCGTGATAAATGAAATTCCGCGAAGTAGTATTCCTTATTTGTAAATCAAATATTTTCGTAGTTAGAGCATAGAGGACATGAAAAAACACCCTTTAGTCACCATTACACTCGTATTACCCAATTTATTAAACAAAAAAGGGAAAATACAGTAAAACATTTTGGACGTTACAATTATCATTTATTATTTATTATATTATTTATGGCATCTAGTTTACAGTATTACATATTTCACATACAGTATTATTATATGTAGTTCTTACAAGTACTGTAATCAATAGCCTATGAAATGACTTAAGGTATGTACTCTACAGGTGGGTCGCCGTCTTTTTCCTCTGAAGGAGCAGGTGTAGGCAGTGGGTGCTGTTACGCAAAAACCACGATAGAGTGAAGCCGCGGAAGTCGAAGCGTGAAGTGGCGAGGGTTCACTGTATTGCACCAATGAAACATACAACTTTCCTCTAGTTTAATGCTTCCTTCCCACCCACTATCGTGATCCCAGTTCTACCTTACAAATCTGGCTAGACCAGAGCATGTACAGTTACAGATAAGAGCTCTCAACACATGGAATCCAGGACAGATAAAATCCTCAGGAACAGTCATGGAAGTAGCAATCCCATGAGGGTAGGAGGAAGATGGGGAGATGTGGGGGAGAAAGGGGGGACCGATCCCAATGATCTACATATTACCAGCCCCCCCCATCACTCTGAAGGGGATGAACAACAGAAACGTGGTGAAGGGAGACAGTGAACTGTGTAAGATGTGAAAATAATAATAATTTTTAGGTTATCAAGGGGTCATGAGGGTGGGAGGGTGGGGAGGGAGAGAAAAAAGAGGAGCTGATACCAAAGGCTCAAGTAAAAAGAAAATGTGACGATGATGGCAATATATGTACAGATGTGCTTGATACAATTGATGTATGGATTGTTATAAGAGCTATAAGAGCCTCCAATAAATTGATTTATAAAAAAGAAACCTGTGCTTGGATCAAGAGACAGTCATCAGACAGACCAAGGGGATGTGGATGGTTCAAAATCGGCAAAGGTGTGTGTTAGTGTTGTTTCCTTTCACTATAGTTATTTGATGTATATGCTAATCAAGTAATTGGAGAACCTGGACTACATGAAGATGAACAGGGCATCAGGATAGAGGACGAATCATTAACAACCTGTAATATGCAGATGACACAACCATGTTTGCTAAAAGAGAAGAGGTCTTGAAGCACTTATTGATGAAGATCACAGACTACAGCTTTCAGTATGGATTACACCTCAACATAAAAAAAAAATCCTCATAAGTGGACCAATCAGAAATAGCATGATAAATAAAGAAAAGACTGAAATTGCCAAATACTGCATTTTACTTGGACCCACAAGTAACCTCCATGGAAACAGCAGTCAAGATTTCAAATGCTGTATCGCAGTGCTACAGTTTGGTGCTAAAGATCTGTGTAAAATGTTTAAAAGCAAATATGTCACTTTCAGAACTAAGGTGCCCTTGCCCTGAGCCATGTTATTTTCAATTTCCTAGCCAATGGGAAAGGAAGAGCAAAGAACTGATGTCTTGTAATTACGGTGTTGGTGAAGAGCATTAAGTCAACCATGGATTGCCAGAAGAAACAAATTGGTTTTGGAAGAAGTACAGCCAGAATGCTCCTTGGAAGCATTCTGGAGCGACTTCATCTCAAGTCCTTTGGGAATGTCATCAGGAGAGATCAGTCCCTGGGGAAAGATATCATCATGCTTGGCAGAGTGTTGGCCAGAAAGAGGACAACCCTCAATGAGATGGATTGACCCAGTGGCTACAACCATGGGTTCAAATATATCCGTGGTCGTGAAGACAGCACGGGACCCGGCAGTGTTAGCTTCTGTTGTGCTGAGCGCCTCTATGAGTTTATACTGACTTGAGGGCATCTAACAACACTTTTGAGACCAAACTCTTCTTTATTCTAGAAATGTGCCTACCTTTCCAGTCTTTCTATCTGTTGCCCAATCTACTTTGGACTCTTTTAATACCCATCCTAACAAGACAATTACAGCATTAATTTGTCGATGGACATCATAGTTGTTTATCTTTTAGTTATTTTAAACTATCGTCATAAAGACTGTGTACAGATTCCCATTTGTATGTATCCTTGGGCTATTTGTAGAAGTGACTGAATGTGTAGAAACTTGACTTTGGCACTGGCAGGTGTAGAGCTCACCGATTCTACCCTACGGTAAAGAAGTAAATCATTAGGACCAATGTTCAGAGGCCATCTTTGGGTCATTTATGTAATACTCAGGTAGTCAGTGTCTGTTTTCACCCTCTTATCTTGCTTGCTTGTCATTTTGAAACCTTACATTTGTTTCCTGTTGGTTCTACACGGTCAGAGTTCCCCCTTTTGCTCTTCTTGCTTCCTGCAGTCATCTCATCGGTAGGGTGGTTTCTGTATCAATCACCATGCTGATGACTCCCAGCCATTTCTTTTCAGTTCAGATTACTTCCCTCAACTGCAGCCCCACCTATCTATCCAACTGCCTAGTGAAGATCCCTCATGGAAGTCTCAAAGACACCTGCACTCTAATATATAACTCATAAAACGAAACCCTTGTATTCCCTCCCATACCTGTTCTTCCTGCAGGCTCCCTATTTCTGTCAATGACTTAGTCATTCATCCACTTGCAGAAACCTAGTGCTATTTTTTGACACGTCCATCTTCATCAACCCCCATATCCAGTCAATCACCAGTTTTATGCTTTGAAAAGAGATAGCGCCTCTTTTTCTCTGTCACAATGGATCATTCTTCTGCAGTATTTTAATAACCTGTCTTATTTTCCTTCCTTCAATTTATCATCCACATCACACTCAAAATAATCTTTAAAAATCACAGAAACAATTTTGTAACTCCCTCAACTAAAACTCATTAGTGGCTTGCCATGACTCTTAGAAGAAATACTCAAATCCTTCATAAAGCTCAAAGGGCCGTCAGCAATTGTTTATTGCCCCTGTCCATCACTTAAGCCTCATGAAACCCTGTTGTATACGGATACCCTTCTCTTTGACCCGTGTGGTGGTGGTGCTGTTAGGTGTTGACAGCCCATTTTAATTCATAGTGGTCTTAGGTGACAAAGGACAACTTCCCCATCAGGTTTTCTTAACCTTCCTCTTTATGGAAACAAACCACGTGTTTATCCTGCAGAGACTTAAATCCTTTTCTGCTTTTATTGACTCTATCCGAGTATTCTAATCAATCTAAAAAAGGTAGATGAAATTGTCTCCCATTTGAGACAACCCCAAAGTCAAGATGAGTGAGTAAGTTATATTAATTCATCTGAAGAATAGAA